AATTGCTTTTAAAGATTTTATTTTTTAAGCAATCTCCACACCCAGTGTGGGGCTTGAACTTACAACCCTGAGATCAAGAGTTGCATACTCCACCAAATGAGCCAGCCAGGTGCCCCTGATTTTTTTTTTTTTATGTTTATATATTTTTGAGAGAGACACAGAGCACAAGCAGGGGAGGGGCAGTGAGAGAGGGCGACACAGAATCTGAAGTAGGCTCCTGGCTCTGAGCTGTCAGCACAGAGCCCAACACCGGGCTCAAACCCACGAACCATGAGACTGTGACCTGAGTCGAAGTCAGACACTTAACCAACTGAGCCACCCAGGCGCCCCAAAATCCTAAGTACAAATAGAGACCTATGGTGCCCTGCTTAAAATTCCCTTAATGGCTCCCAGCTGCTTAGAGCAAGGTTCAGAAAACTTTCTGCAAAGGGCCAGATGGTAAATATTATAGGCCTTGCAGGCCAAGAGACAAAAATTGAGGCTACCGTGTAGGCACTTAGGTAACAGGAGGGAGTGCACTCTTCCTCAAATTTGTTTTATCAATGAAATTATGAGGAGGTTTCTTTGTAATCTAGTTTTGCTAATGAGAAGAACAGATTTCCTTTTTGGTGCCGATAAAATTTCACGTAGTTGGGGTTCAGGTAGTGTTCCCCTACCATCTGATCAATTTATGATCACCTGTAAAATGATTACAGGTTTAACGACTAACTGCAAAAACCATTTTTAACTTGGTCTATGTCCTTAACTATAATGAAATAAAACACAGGCAGTGAACTGGTCATTGTTTGGGACCCCTTCTTTTTAAAAAAATATTTATTTACTTTTGAGAGAGAGGGAGAGGGAGAGGGAGACAGAGAGAGAGAGAGGAGGGCCGAGAGACGGGGACACAGAATCTGAAGCATGTTCTGAGCTGTCAACACAGAGCCCAATGTGGGGCTCGAATTCACAAACTGTGAGATCATGACCCAAGCCGAAGTCGGACGCTTAACAGACTGAGCCGCCCCTAGACCCCTGCTTAAAAGATCAAGTCTCAGCTCCTTAACGTACAAACACGGCTGCAGGGACCTACCCTCACGTCTATCCCAGAAACTCTCCCAACACAGTTGGCCCTAACTTTTTGCTTCTTAAACAGGCTTCGCTCTCTTATACCTGAGCTTTTTCTTCCAGCCCATTTCCAACCTGGGACTTCCTGTCTCTGCTCGGCTATACTCTCTTTCAGGACTACTTACCTGGACACCTTCTCTAAGCCCTTCCCTCCCATAGATCCCAGTGTGGACTTGGAGAACTTAGCACATAATATCACAGTTGGGCCTTTACAATCTGTAACTCCCTCACTGGCCTGGGATGCTTTCAAGGGAGGAAGCTACTGCCTACCTACTGTACTCACTGCACATGCTTCAAAAATAGGGACTGCATCCCAGGTCTTCTGTTTCCTGCACCATCTCTAGTGGGGACCACCCAGCTGCCTTGAGAGCACCATGTTCTTACACCCTAGCACGCTCCTGGCCTCAACTGACTGATCCAGGGTGAACACTGGATTCAAGTCAGGCCTACAGCCCTTTCTTGAGATCTTTCGAGCTGTGACTGAGAAATGGCACAGTGTAGGGAGTAAAACCCTGGAGGGCCGGCAGCCATGATCTCCATCTTGAGGGGAGACACTACCATGACAGAGTTGGAGGAAGAGGATGTGCAGAGAGAAGCAGACAGGAGTCCTGGGCAGAGAGAACCTTGGAACATTCTCCTGAGCCTCAGCTGCATGCTGCTGTGCTAATCATCTGCCTAGTGGCCCTTCCTTGGAAACCACAAGACACCTGAGCAAGTTTGACCATTTTCTGTTGGTGGCAATCCAAAGATTCCTTGATCTTGGCAATCCAAAGATTCCTGATCTTGGCATTCTCCCCACTAGCCACTGGTTCCCAAACGTTTTTAAGCATAGGAACCTCTAGTTCAAACAGAATCTTACTGAGAAGCCCGGCATGTGAAATGGCTGTAACATAGGATAGACCACATGGTCCAGTCTAATAAAGCCCCACTCTGACAACTCCTGACTTTGAAATCAATGCTGAGATACTCTTTTAGCCTCAGTTGCCTGCTTTTTTAAAAAAAAAACAAAACAAACAAAAAACAAACAAAAAACAAAAAACAGAGCAGAGGTATCCAACTCTTCAGGCTGCTATAGGGCTTAAGTAAGTTAATATATGTAAATCGTTTAACACAGTGTCAGGGATAGAACAATCAGTCAATAAGCATTAAATTAGAAGTAGGGGATGGAGAAACCCAGGGCAACTGCCACTCTTAGCACCCTTATAACTCTTCCCTCAATAATGTCTTTGGCATATGTATAATGTTTAAATGATCTGAAATGATTAATATATCTTCCTGGTTAGACTGGACAGTCTCACAAAGACAAGACGCATATCTGTCTTGGTCACTGTTTTACCCCAGGTCTGCCTAGCACAGCTACTGGCCTCTAGAAGGTGACCAGTAACTACTGTTGACTAAATGATAATAGATATATGTATCATCTTGTTAAAAAATATACACCATACATGTTGCCTTCTGCAACGGATTCAGAAAAGTCGTAAGAAGAGATAAAGGCTCAATGGACAGGGTAGCCTACTCAAAACTAAAGTTAATTCTTTTGGTTTGGTCAGTTACATTACTTGGAGGTTCCCAGGTTTCACCATTTTAAAACTAATTAATGTAATGAAAACACAACATGACAAGACTTCAGAGGTACACTTAAAGTAATAAGGAACATTCATAGCATAAAATACTATATAAAAAAATGGAAACAAATAAATTCAATTCCCTGTTCAAAAAGACATGAAAAACTCCAACCAAGTAAAACAAAATAAGTTACAAGAAAATAAATAATAAGGATAAAATCAGAAATCAGTGAAACAGAATAGGAAGGCAACTGACCTATGGAGTTTGAAAAACTAACAAAATAGACAAACCACTAACTAACTCAGCCAGCAAACAAGGGAGGAGATCCAAATATAAAACTAAGAAATGACAATAAGAAGATAACAACTAAAAAAGTAGAAATTTAAAAAATTCATGAGATTACTTTGCAAATCTCTATGCAAATCTATCTGAAAATGACAGTGAAATAGATAAATATGGTTTACCAAAATGACTTCATTGGAGCCAGAAAGCTTCAACAGAGCAAACTTTACAGAGAAATAGAGAAGACTGTCAAAGAATTCCCTGCTACCCCAAAAAAGCACCAGGCCTAAAGAATTTCACAAGAGGTACAAACCTTCAAAGATTTGTTTTAGTGCTGCATAAATTCCTGTAGGCTTAGAAAATAAAAGTAAACTTCCGAATTATTTTTATGAAGCAAATATGACATTGTTACATTGTTACTTAAACAAGTATCACTTACCAATAAGGGCAAAACATCCTAAAATAAATGTTAGCAAACAGAATCAACATTGCACTGAGAAAATAGTTTAATATGACTAAGGGGATTTATTCCAGGAATGCAAGGTTGGTTTGATATGATAATAAAATATACCATATTAAGTGATCTAACAAGAATCATATGATTATTTAATTCCACTGATGCTTTGACAAAATGCAGCACTTTTTTCTAATAAAAAAATACTCATGAAAATAGAAATTGATGGATACACTTCTTTACCATGGTAAAATATATAAACCTTAGTCCAAAGCCAGCATGTACCATATCAAGAATCACTAGAGGCATTTGCACTAACATCAGGAACAAGACAAGGATGCTTATTATCTCTACTCTTACTTATTATTGTATTGTAGGTACAAGCCAATGCAATCAGATAAGAGAAATCAATAAGAAACATAAGAATTGGAAAACAGAAAGTAAAACTATTTGCAGATGATGTAATGGTACACCTGAAAAACCTGAAAGAACCAATGTTCAAATTAACTCAAGCAAGAAAAGAATTAAGTAAGCTAGCAGAATATAAAATAACATAGAGAAACCAATAGTTTGCATGCACATACACCAACAGTTAAAAAATATAATACTGGATAAAACTCCATTTATAATAGCATTAAGGGAGAGGAAATGCTTAGCAATCGACTTAATAAGAAATGTGCAAAACTTGTATAAGGAACACTTTAAAATGTGCCTGAATGATACGTAAGTGGATGTGAACAAATATAAAGACATCCTTTGTTCTTGGGTAGAATGACTCTACATCATGAAGATGTCAGTCCTCCTGAAGTTCATTTATAAATAACATGCTCCTCAAAAAAAATACCATCAAACTTCTTATGGAGCTAGACAAGTTGATACTAAAGTTCAGGTGGAAAAATAAATATGGAAAAATGTCTACAAAACACAATAGTCTAGGGAGATAAAAAACCATGAGGGGAGTCTAGTCCTACCTGCTATTAAATCATGCTATGAAATCTCCATAATTAAGACAATTAGGCACTGGAATTTGAGTAAACAAAAACACAAACAGAAGCGAATAGGAATCTAGAAATAGACTTAAATATATACACAAGTGTAGTACATGATGAAGGTGTCACCTCAAATCACTGGAGCATAGATGGGCTCTTTAATAAAATGTCACTGGACAACTGGGAAACCGTTTGAAAAAAGATAACATTGGCTCCTTACCTCATACCTTCCACACAAACAAACCCCAAATTTAAAAAGAAACAGACATACAAGTACTAGAAGAACACATACAAGAATTCAAGAATTCCTCCATGAACTGAGTGTACCGAAAGAGTACAAGAAAATTGATAAATCACACTATGTAAAAAATTTAAAACATTTGCATGGTAAAAAAATAATTGATAATTCATTTAAAAACATATGTGTATAAAAGGATTACTATATTGCTTACCCAAAAAGTGTTGGCTTGGATCAACTGCGAAAGTGATGTCACCTTACCTAAATAAGCCACTGATAAAGTTTCATTTACAAACAGCATGGTGGAGGGAGAGAAAGTGACCCGTGGGGAGAGTTTTCTCTGCATTAGTACTGGCTCCAGCTTTACCTTCTTTAGTTTCTTGTGGGCCCCACTCTGGTTCCCCTGTGCCAGGTCGGCCCCACCTAACAGCCGGTATGTCTCTGCCACCTCCGGGCTGAGGTCACCAAACACTGCCACTTTGGCTTCCAGGGACTCTCTCAGGATGGAGATTGCTCTCTGTGAAGGGAACAAAAGTTAAAGTCTGGTTAAAAGCTCAAAGGCTGATAAAATCCATGCCTCTTAAGAAAATGGTGTGACTGATGTGTATTTCCACTTTTCAGGGGAATGGGTTTGGGTGGTGTCTCCTGAGCTAAGCCTACTCTCCCCTTTAAACCGGGGACAGGAAGTAGCATACATGTGAGCGGAGAGGTGCTCACCATGGAGACACAATGCATAAAGGACACCTGGAGAGCAAAGCCACTTCAGACAATGCAGGAATTCATTTCAGTCAAGCAGTAGGAGCAAAAGCTAACATGTTTTGTGTCCTTTATGTGCCAAGACCTGTACTAAACAGTTTGCATGTGTGAGCTCATGTAATTCTGTCTCCTTTAGGTAAGTACAGTTTTAATCCTCACTGAACAGAGGAGGAAACTGAGGTACAGAGCAGTCAAGAAACTTGCTCAGGTCTGACTCTTGATGTCGGCTCAGGTTGTAATCTTGTGGTTGGGGAGTCAGGTCCCAATTGGCATTCTCTAGCCACCATCCCCCTCTCTCTCCCTCTTTCTCTCTCTCTGCTCCTCCCCTGCTCAGGCTCTCTAAAGCAACAAACATTTAAAAAAAAAAAAAAGGAAAAGAAAAAGAAACTAGCTCAGGATCAGACAGACAGCTCCCCAGTGGCAGACCTAGGATCTGAATCCGGCCAGTAATTTGAATCCTTTTCAGTTGCAGGCTCTTCTGCCTATGTGCCCAGGGACGTTCTTACATTAAGTGAAAATTAGAGTTTCCTGGCAATGTATGTACTTACAAAACATCCAGAACATATTCCAGGGTTTTCTATTTCTCATAAGAAATAGCTTAGGAAACCAAAAGCAAACATTCCAACATGGTGAAAAATTAAATATATTTGACATTTTGTTTGGTTTCTTGGGTTTATTTATACCAACGTGGAATAAAAAACATGGCTTGGTCAGAAACCAGTATCTTCTGACATTAATCTCTTGAGTCAGACACTAAGACATACAGAGGGAAGGCCCTGTCTCCACCGCCCACATTTCTCCTGAAATTCTTCTGTGGTCTTGTACACGAAAGCAGGATTATGGCTGCAGGATACAAATGCTGAATTTGAGACTCAAATAAGGCCGGAACCGATTAAAGGGTGTCCCCACCAACTGGCCCTGGAGGTGTCCTGATAGCACTCCACAGATGGAATGAGCTGGCAAAGCTTTACTCGTTTTATTGGCAGTAATATGGGTTAGGTGCTAGGGTTGGGGTATGGAACCAACCACAGAGAAGGCAGTGATGAGGCAGAAACAATTTCTTAGGTGGAAAGATGAAATCACCAGAGAAACTGGAAACTGTGAAGCGTGTGGCCTACCCTGGTACGTGGGTAACTTGCTTGATGCTAAAGTGCATCACATCCTTTTGTATCACATCCCCTCCCAACCCCTGTGAGCAAGGATTTAGTGTGGGGCAGGTGTTGGGCTCGGCAACTTATTCTTGTCAATTGGTTGTCAGGTTTGGAGGAGCCCGTGATGGAAAGAAGAGCCGGACTCTTTTTCCTAAATGAAGCTTTCAATGCCATTTATAGCCTGACTGGGGAAACTAGAGAGAGATCTGCATGAACTTGAACGGCAGGTCACGATGGTGATGGACGAGATGCGACATGGGTTTGGAGGAAACAGAGACTGTGTCAGTCTGTGAGAGGTAGAAAAACTTAAGGGAGAGGAGTGAAGAAAAAATGGGACCTGGGTGGGAGGAGGAGAGGGCATGGGAAACTGGGAGCCCAGGTGTGAGGAGGGCAAAGGGCAGAGCCAGGCAGTGGGCTAATCTGACTGCAGCACAGAGAGTGGGAAGGGGAGAGTGGGGAGACAGGCCGGGCTGAGGGTTGGTGGGGGGCCTTTGCGCCAGGTTTGGGAGTCTGGATTTTCTTATGGGGAGTAAGAACCCGGAGAAGGTTCTTGAGCAGAAAAGTAGCACAACTAGAAGATAAACCCACTATTTTAATCTGTGGCAGAGTGACCTTCACCTACATTTTACCTTAAAAGACATTTTCCTTCCCAAAGACCACCTTCCTGTTGGTGCAGGGTTCTAGTCCAATGTATCGGCTGTGAACACATCTGGGGTGGTCTGAGCACAGCCCCATGCTCATGCCTGGGACTGTCCTCGGGCTGAGCCTTGTCAGCCAGCTCCAGCTAGAGCCCACAGGGAGAGGGCTGTGACCCATGCAAGGTTGCCACGCTTGGGCGGACGGGTTGCGTCACGCACAAGGGCAGGAGAACGAGGGCAGCTGAAATCTAGCCTGTGTTCTGCTCTCCAAGCAATGTGTGCTGGCACGGGCTGCATCCCCCCGAGGAAGAGGCAGCTTTTTCTATTCTTACAAGGGCACCGGAGGGCTGGCCGGGGGTAGAATGAAAAGAGCCAGTTTGCCAAAATCTCCAAGGGCGGCTGAGGGGAGCGAGGTGCATCTTTGGATCAATACCACCGATTTGGGTGACTGGGGCAAGGGCAGTGAGGTGTGGCATCAGTGACAGACACCAGGGCAGGAAGCCAGACAGGAATAGGGGAGATGATGGGTGCCCTGTGGTGGCTAGAGCAGTCAGGCGACCCATAGCCAAGCCTCCACCACCATGAGCAAGAGGGTCTCTGGCTACATGGAAATCAGTCCACGCAGGGGAGAGACAGTACACATCCACACATATACTTACTATTCTTATGATCTTGTTCTATTACTCCTGTGCTGTGTTCATCATATTATTATATCAAACAGGATTCTATGATGAACAATAATGGGAAGAATCTAATGAGGACTGGGGAAAGGAATCAGGCAAACTGATGAGTCCTGAAAGATAGACCCTGCATTATTTAGGAGATCAATGAGGAAGAGACCCCCAAGAGCAGGAACCAAAAGCTGGCACTTTCTGGAAGTGGGGATTAGAAAAGGCCAATGTGGCCAGAACACAGATCGGGGGAGGGGGCAAAAATAAGACTGGAAATGTCAGCAGAATCCAGATCCTTGAAGGTATTGTGAGACACACAGGATTCTGATTTATTTTAAGGGCATTGAGAAGCCGTTGGAGTATTTTACAAATGGGGGTTTCATTGATCAGATCTGCTTTTTGAAAAGATCACCATAGCTTCCTTATTCAGAATGGATGAGAAAAAGTCAAGAGTGGAGAAAGCAGCTGGGGGACCAGAGTCTGTCAGAGTGGTCCAGACAGGAGGTGATGATTGGCAGAGGTGGACATAGCAACCAATACATTTTAGAGGTAACAATGACTGATGACCTGGAAGGGGTAAGTCATGATGGGGGTAGACTACATCCTGCCTCTAGACTTCTGACCTGAGCACCCTCCCTAGAACTTCTACAGATATTCTAGAATCTGAGGCCTCTGGAAGGCCCTTTTATAGTTGGGGGATCCAGAAAAATATGGAAACTCCACATGTTATGGTTACTGTAGTCCTACTTTGGTCTGAGGAACATGGGAGCATCTAGATTAAAAACCTGTGTTCCCTAAGCTCCCATCAATTCAGAGGGGGGTTTAGGACAGAGCTGTGGGGGGAAGTGTACAGAACAGCCTAGAAAATAAAAGCTTTTCATCCCAAGGATTTGCCTTGATAGGTTGAAGTTGAAAAAAATATATACATCTATACACATAAAGGCAACAGCAAGTAGCTTTCTGGTAGCTGTTAGGCTTTGCATAGAATAAGTTCCCAAGGGTTTAATTACCAGTGAATATAAACTCTGGGGCTTGTTCTATTTTTACAAGCCATAAAAAAGCATGCCTGTATGGTTCAATGGACCGTGGGCTGTAACTTCTGTGCTGTGTAGCTCTCGTTAGATATGTAAATTCCATCCATAACCCAAAATTAGGAGAGAGGAATTAGGCACACTCACCGGCACCCTCTATCCCAGCCAGAACTGCAGGCTGTGATAAGCAGGGTCTGCCCACTGGGTTTTAGGTTTCTCGTCCTTTAGGATCCTTTGTGGGGAGTTGGGGGAACACGGCATCTACATTCTCACAAACAGTTTTCATTTTCCAAGAATGAGTATCTGGGAGCTGCCCAAGAGTGGCCACCTGGCATTATTTATCCCTGTCCCTATGGGAGCCGGGTACATACCTTGCCCATAGTAGATGCTTGATGGATGCTTGTAGAGTGAAGGAGTAGCCCTCTGGATGTCAACTCATGCAAATAACTAGTCAAACTTGGGTCCAAATGCATTTACCTCTTTTTGTCCGGTGACTTGTAGAAAATGGCAATAATCATCTTGAATTGAAAGAAATTTGGCTTTTCCCATCCCTTCAGCATCCTTAAGATTAGCCATGCTCTCTTGAAAATACTGCTTGGCCACATCTGAAGAAAAGCATCGCAAAAACATTTGAAGATTGCTTGCAGATTTGAAATGGAAACAGAATAAGTACCCTTTTAGTGGTGGTGAGCTATTTGAAAAAAATAAGTATTTAGACAAGAGGACCTAGTTAATTGGACTGTTTTTCAGAAAAGATTTAGGTCTCAGCAGGATACAGCAATTTACTTTCCTTGGTTTTCATACATTTTAGCTCTCCCAGCCATACAGTACAGATGGGGAAAATATTCCCCAGACTTGAACACACTGGTGAGTTTTCAGGTTAACCATTAATTCTTCCTCTAACTCTGGTTGCTGCTCACTGAGGTTAGGGCTCCGAGGGTCCACTTATTTTAATGGACTCTGTTATCTTAGAACATAATTTTACAGCATTAAAATTCTGCAAAATATGGCTGACACGCTGCTAAAGAAAGAAACTCAACCATTCCAAACACATAAACATACTGGTTATAATACAAGGAAAATATTTTAAATATTTGCCAATCTTGAAAGCAAGAAAGGGAAAACCTCAGGTATGATAAATGAAGAAGGAACCAGAAGCCAGAACGGTGAGTGGGCATTGAAGCTGAGTGGACCGTGAGGGTGTTAGAAAAAAAAGGTATAGTCTGTAAGGGCTAAAGTTTTATAAGCCTGAGGACTGGTGATGAGGCCTGAGGACTGTGTATGGTAGGAAGATGGAATGAAGCTTGCTACCAAAAGCCAAATTCTTCTGTGATAGGCAGAATTTAGGAGGACAACTCTGTCTAATCCCTCCCCTGTGACATGGGTGGAACTTGCAGATATGAGGAGATATTATTCCTTTGATGAGGTTATGCGATATACCACAGTTGACTTTAAGAAAGTGAGATTATCCCTTGGGTTTAACCTAATCACCCAAGGCCTTGAAAAGGAGAGTTTTCTTTAGTTGGTAGCAGAAAAGGCAGCCAGAGACATTCAGAACATAAGGGGGATTTGACATGAAGGTCCTCCATTGGTGAGATGGAAGGAACTATGGTGTAAGGACCCAAGAGTGGCCTGTGGGAGCCAAGAGAGGCCCCTGGCCAATAGCCAGCAAGAAAATGGGGACTTCAGTCCTAAAACCGCAAGGAACTGAATTCTGCTAATGACAGAAATGAGTTTGGAAAAGTATCCCCATGCCCCAGATGAGAATGCAGCAGGCCGACAGCTTGATTTTAGCTTGAGCAGAGAAGCCAGCCTTACTGTGCTAGACTTCTGACCGACAGAACCGAATTGATAAATGGGTTTAAGCAATCAAAATTTGTTATGCGGCAAAAGAAAACTAATACGGTCAGGAATCCCTACAAATGGAGTGAAGAGCAATCGCAATGGTCCAGAGGCCATCCGTGGCTGCAGAAATGGCATCTGAAACTGAGACACCGTACAGGGGGCATCCACATGGGTGAGGCCTGAATCTGCATCACCTACTTGGTCTGGAAATTCTGAACCAAGAAATTAACTAGAAACTAGTCTGTAACTGGAGAAATTATAGGGTTCCAGCATAGGGGTCAGCAAACTCATTCTGTAAAGGACAAGATGGTAAATATTTTAGGCTTTCAGAGCCATATGGTTGCTATCTCTGCTATTCAACTCTGCTGTTGAGGCACAAAAGCTTCCACAGACAATACATAAATGAATGAGCATGGCTGTGTGCCAAGAAAACTTTATTTACAAATACAAGGGGGCAAGCTGGATTTGGACCACTGACCCCTGCTCTAGCAGAGGGAAAAGTGATATCTTCCTCTTCCAGGAACATGGGACTCCCAATGAAGTGCCTGCTGGAGATGACCTCATGGTGACACATGACAAGCACATTTTTGCCAGAATAGACTATGACCCACGTATACAGTGGTCTACTTGACATTTCCACTTGGAAATCTCATGTGTATTGTGTGGTGCAAAGACCTACGAGTGAAAAGATAAAATATAACCCTTTACTTCTTTACTTTTCCTCCATATTTGGTTATCACCTCTAATTTTGTATTTGTGCTACCTCCCTATTTTTTTGATTAGACCAGCTAGCATATTATCTATTTTAATACCTTTTCCAAAGAATCAGCCCTTGAATTCACTTTTCTCATACTGTGTTGTGAGTGCCAGGTGCTTCCAAAGAGGCCTCTATGAGGACAGCACTCCAGAACTCACAGAGGAGCGATAACTGGGTCGCCTGTGCAGACAGGGTGGTTGTTCCTGAGTCAGCACAGCGAGTGGCAAAGAGGGCAGGCTCCAGAGGTCAGAGGTTGCCTGGCTCTGCTCCCTTCTAGCTGGGTGCCTCACATGGTTGACCTCAGTCTCCTCATCTGAAAAAGGGGAACATAACGCTAGTGCCTCCTTTATAGGGTTATTGTCAGGAGTAAATGAGTTAATGCATACAAACAACTGAAGACACGCCTAACACCTAGTCAGTGCTCAATAAATGGTAATCATTTTAACTTAGGGACAGCTTTGAGGGTCGTGGTTATGGACCTCTGCTGCCCATGCTAGGGTGACCAGCAGGCACACCGGAAGCACAGGTGGACTTATTAAAAGGACGGGAGCACTATGAAAGTGGTCACAGGTGTAGAATACTGGGCTCATCTCATGTGCACCGGATGTGTGGCCCTGCACACCACGAGAGCTCTGGGAACACCCGAAGTTCATGCTGAGAATGTTGGGGGTCTCAAGAAATGATTCAAGTACACTCCATGTGATATGTTTTAGAAAGGAGAGAAGCCAACCCTTGCGAAATGTAGTCTACCGAACCCTGTCAACGTAAGGAAAAGATAGGTCTGAGAACAAGTAAGTTTCATTTATCTGCAAGATTTACTTTGCTTGGAGCCTAGGCAGTTGCCAGACCGAAGCAGGAATTCTGCTGTGAGGTGATGCCTCTGATTTCAGTCCTAGCTGCCCCCAGAGTTTGTAGCTATAGACAGAAGTTAATTGAACTGGAGCCCCCTGTTCCTTTCTTTCAGTGAGGGTCTGCTAGACCAGCAGGGGGATGATTTCTAGAGTATTTACTCAGAATTTTCTCTTGGTAGGAGAAAATTCTACCAAGCAGAAAATCTCTTTACTAGTAGCTGACTCATGGGAGAAAGCATTACAGATTTAATGCTCAAACTAAGCATTAATTTTGGCTACTTTGATAATCTGATGACAGCAAATTAGTGAGGATGATGTGGCATTTATTTTGTTGATTTTAAAAGCATAACAGAGATGAACATTCCATGTCTAAAAATTAACAACGATATTCCAGAGCGGAGTACTCCTGATATTTTAATTTTCTGTCTAATTGGGAATTAACCAAAGAATGTAACTGAGCCTTTAAGAGTTCTTTTTTGGGGCGCCTGGGTGGCTTAGTTGGTTAAGCGTCAACTCTTGATTTGAGCTCAGGTCATGATCTCGTGGTTCATGAGATTGAGACCCATGTCTGGCTCTGCATTGAGCCCGCTTGGGATTCTCTTTCTCCCTCTCTCTCTGCCCCTCCCCTGCTCACATGCGCTTCTCTCAAACTAATAAACTAAAAAAAAGTAAAAAAAAAAAAAAAAAAAAAAAAA